CTTCTACAGCTACTCTCCTGGACCCCACCACCCATCACCAAATTTGACCACTTTTCTTACTAGAAGTTTGCTGATTGCCCCAAATTCACAAGATCGTTTGCTGAGATGGAGAAAGGGTGATGTTAACTTGACATTAACTAGCTCTGCAGGCAGCCACATCCCTGACACTGATGTCCGTGTTTGAAATACACCATGCAGGTGTGTCTCGTAAGCTCAGTGGCGCAGTGCCACACCTGTAAAGTTGGTCTCTGTACCCACAGGTAAGACTTCTTTATTTAGCTGAATTTGATCTTTTTGAGGACTTCCTGAATCCCAATTCTGTTATTGTTGCTCTTCATTACAACTTCATATTCACACCAGTTGATAACTGTGCATCTGTATCTTTCTTCAAACCACCATTGATGCCGAACAAAACAGAGCTGAAATCCAAGTTCTACAGCAAACCACTGGAAACCTCTGTCAGGGCTGCAACGTAGCCATTCATCTGATGCTGCCGAGCTGAGTCATTGTACCAGTTCCTTAATCTAATTAACCACGATACCACCAAGCCCCTGGCCCCCTTGATTTTCTCTGAAGGTCAGCTATTCTGAAGGACATTCACTACTGCTGTGATCCTCACTGAACTTCTCTGGACCTGATTTACCTTCCTTGACATGCTGATGTCATCCACCTGTTCGGGAGGAATGTCTGGGGGTAGATGCAGGAGGACACGCAATAGCACCCGAAAGCCTGACTTCACCCCAGGGTTCCATGGCCAGTCGCTTTCCTCTGTATCATGCTTCCAGCAATTGGGTAGGCTGCCCAAGGAGATAGACCCTCCCTTCCCCGGCTGACTGACTGCTTGGCAGGGATGCTGCCTAGGGGATCTTTTCCATCTTCAGTATTCTGTAATTTTATTGCTCTTAAGAAATTTGATTTAGGTTTGTTCGGAATTATTGAATTAACATACCATTTTTATTTGTTTCAGCCTTTGAGGTATTATCAGCACCTCTTATCCACATTGATGAAAAAAAAAAACATCATTGAGTATCTAAAAAATTTAATTAGTTTTTGAATGTCTTAAAACTTGACTTAAGATACGATCTAAACTTTATAATTATTTAGCAGTCTAGCCCCAGCACTACTCATGTAGTGAACATTTCTTGTGTTGAATTCTCAATATTAAAGTTTAATCCAGAAGAGAAACTCACTGCCTACCCCGCCATGCTTTTCTGCTTCCACATCTCCTAGCTCCTTCTGGGCCCGGGCGTCAGGGTCTTCCACGGGGCTCACGCGTGCTCCAGTACAATCCTTCTGTTTATTGTTCAGTACTTGTTTGTCCTCTCATTCACATCTTTCTTTTTAATGGGAAATATCAAGGGAAGGCTCACCACCCTTCTCTCCTCTGAGGTCCTGCTTTACCAGTTATATTCTCAAAGATTGAAGCAGCACAAGTCACAAAGAAATTATAAGCTGAATTTTATGTAAACAGTTTACCTCCTTTTAATAATGATGGGAGTGTGTACGTAATGCATCTTTATTTTCAACTGAAAGTTAAAATAATGATTCTTAGATCAATTATAGAAATACCTATAAACTTTCTGAGAATTTTTAGTTAACATAGCCTAGTTTACACACGAAGC